TAGATATGTGTAAATATTCAAAAATATGAAATATTTAAGAATTTCAGGAATAAGTACGATAGTCTGAGGTCCATACCATAAACACTTTAGCTCAATAAATTTAAAATGTAAGTAAAATGGATAAATTCTTGAGAAAACACATGCTACCAAAATGATACAAGAAAACCGCCCCCACAAAATCTACAGTACTTTGGAGGGTTGTTAAAAAGTGAATGCTGAACTGAAAACTGCTTTTTCGGGTTGGAAGCTCCTCTGGCATCTTATAATGTTTAGCTCTCCATTTTTACTTAAGAATGCATTGTGTGTGCTGTAAGACTGTGGTCTCTCACTACAGTGGTGTCTTGTTGGGTTGTTAGCAAGAAGCAGTCAGCATCATTAGGTGTTTCTCCTTGGCCTGGCTCATCCTGTCTCTTTCCTGGATGATAAAAGCTGACTTCTAGTACTTGAGGAACCAAAACAGAAAGGATGCCTGGGGATATCAGCTTCCAGTATACATGCATTCACTCAATACTCTTGGCTCCAGTATGGTAACTGACCTCATCTGGACATGGCAACCCCTACTTGAGATGTTGGCATTTTCCTTTCTCAGTTATATTCAAGGTAGATGATATGCAGCTTTGAGGAAGAAGATGTAGGAATTTGTTTTGTAAACTAGATTTCAAAATCCTTTTCAGCTAACACCATCTCTGTTCTTGACTTTAGAGGTATCTTGGATGACTAGGGGCATCACAGAGGTTCAGCGCTTGCCCAGCATACTTGAAACCTTAGGTTTGACTCACAGCACTGCAAAAAAGACGTATTTAGGACCATTAATTCCCACGACTTTGGATTATTCCACAGGATTTGGTTTACTAAATCTAGCTGCCCTCCCTGCCAGTTCGAGGTCAGGTTTCTCGCCATTATGAAGTCAACTACCAGTAGCCTGTAGGTGTTCTAGATCTCCAAACTGTGTTTTCATGGTCTCTTTCTCTATTTCTTTTTTGCGCTTGTGGGCTTATGCCTTTGAGAAAAAAAAGAATCTCAGGGGGCTGTAGAACTGGTTTAGTAGCTAAGAGCATCTCTTGTTCTTATAGAGGGCCTGTTTGGGTCTTAGTACCCACATGGTGGCTCACAACTGCCTGGAATGTCAGTTCCAGGGGTTTTGATGCCCTCTTCTTGTCTTGGAGGACACTTGCATGCACACAATGCACATACATACACCAGGCACACACACACATATACTTAAAATAAAAAAAAATTAACTAATCTTGGCCAGGCATGGTGGCACACACCTTTAATCTCAGCACTTGGGAGGCAGAGACAGGTGGATTTCTGTGAGTTCAAGGCCAGCCTAGTCTACATAGTGAGTTCCAGGCCAGCTGGGGCTACCAAATAATTAATAATAATAATAATAATAATAATAATAATAAAATAATTAAATAAAAAAGACTCACTGTTGTTTCCATGGAGTTTTGAGAGGAAGGCAAAAGAAATGGGTGTTTAATCCATCAAATTTACTCCAAAATCTTCGTTAGTTTAGGGTTTTTTTTTTTTTTTTTTTTTTTGAGATGGGGTCTCCCTGTAGCCCCAGCTGTCCTGGAATTTACTATGTAGACCAGGCTGGCCTTGAACTCATAGAGATCCACCTGCCTCTGCTGGGATTAAAGGCACGCGCTACCATGCCCAGCTAGTTTAGGTATTTTAAAAAGAAACAATAAATATATCTGGCCCAAATACAAGATCAAATAAGTAGAATTTTTTTTTTTTTAAAAAAAGTCGATTTAAAAGTTTCTGGGTAATAGGAAAGAAGTGATTCCTTGAAGTCAATTCTTGTTAAATTCTCTAAGGCAGAAATGTTGAAGAGCCTTCGAACCTCAGCATCTGTGCCTGGGGGATTCAAAACAGAACTAGATTCACTGAACTTCACAGTTCAATTCCACACTACTTTAACTTTTCAAAGCATTTCATGTAATTTCCTAATTTTTCATTCATCACTGTGTACTGAGTAGGGCTCTATTACTTGTCCATTTAATTAGCCAGTAAGTTAACTCAAAGGTAGGTTGTGATTTAATAGCTAATGAATAGCCAAGTATTGGTTAGGATTTTCCACTACAATTTGGCTAGAGTGAAACCACTAATAGTTTTCTAAGGAATATTTGAAAGACTCCATGCCTTCCTTGTAAGTAAAAATAAATCTTGCTTTCTTAAATAAAGAATAATTATTTTAAAGAGACTGCTCATAATCGGTACTGCTGCTGTGTTAACAATGGTCTGATGTGTTTCAGGGGCTTGTTGTGATGTCCACAGAGCTTGAAGAAGTGGTCAGCAGCATTCTAAATGTCAAAATACCAGGACTGTGGATGGGTAAATCCTACCCAAGCCTAAAGCCACTTGGCAGCTATGTGAATGACTTCCTCGCACGACTAAAATTCCTGCAGGTGAGTTCACCCAAATGAACACGTGCTGTTGCTTTTCTTCTGGCCAAACTTTCCTCATTAGAATGCTGAGGGGAATGGCTATCAGGTTTCTTGCACTTCCTGGGCAGAAATTATCTCTATTTATTAATACCTTGTATCTCTATTGCACCAAAGTGCTAAATGTTAGTATTGGAAGTAGAATTTGGCCTAAAGCTTCTTAAGCAATGGGTTCAGTGAAGCCTGATGTTCAGGCAAATATTTGTAGGGAGAAAGCCATCTGGCATGTTGGCTTTCCTTAACTATTTGGCATTAAGAAGGTTCCTATAGCAGAGCTTGTTAGAAGGCCAGACGAGCTTCTAGTAAGGGGAATTGTTTCTTTATTGTTCAGCAACCTTCTAGGCCAGGAAATCACTGCATTTCCACTTCAAGAGAGCAGTGACCTCAGTGGCTAATTATCCTGGAAATGCTGACTAGGCAGAAGCCTGCCTCCTAATTACCTGGCAAGTGATGCTTCACTATGTTCTTATCAACAATTCAATCCATTAGAAATAGCAATTAATTTCCTAGATACTGTGAACATGACATAAACTGTGGGGAAGCTGGGCACGATGGCTCACACTGCAATCCCAGCACTTGGGAAGCTGAGGCAGAAGGATCACCCCAAGTTCACGGCCAGCTTAGGCTACATACCTGGGCTACATGATAAATTCCACATACAGAGTGAGATGCTGCCTCCTCCCCACAAAAACCCCACAAAATGAAAGAAAACAAAAGAAACCTGTGAGGAAGTTTCTGTAGGAACAAATTGACCAACTCCTTTTCTTAATAGATTTGCTCTGTTGTACTAGAGTCAGGTTAACTAAGGTATCAAGATGGTTCTTGGAAGTTGAGGTTGAACCTTGGTCTTTTCTAGAGAAAAGCCTTACTTATTCGTCTCTTCAGACAGGACTTTATAATGTGCAGTTGTTATTCAACAGACCACCATCAGAATCTATGATACAAATACAGAATTGGGCATCTTTATATTTTTAAAGATGAGCTTTCACTGTCCTGCTTGTTTCTGTTCTTTGCATAGTACTACTCCATATGTTGGATTTCATTGTATTTTGATAAAGCAGAAGAAAAACTTCCAAAAGAACATTCTGCTGGACAGTAAATTAATTAGAGATTTAAAGGTAAAATACTAGCTGGCATACACCTTCAAATCCCAGCACTCAGGAGGCAGAGGCAGGCAGATCTCTGTGAGTCCATGGTCAGCCTACTTAGTGAGTTCCAGGCCAGCTGGGGCTACAGGGAGACCCTGTCTCAAAAAATATATATATTACTGTATAACCTGTTCTAGTTTGTTTCTCCATTTTTGTGACAAAACACTCTGACCAATACCAACTTGGGGAGGAAAGGGTTTATTTGGCTTACACCTTCCAGATCATAGTTCTTCAGGGAGCCCAAGGTAGGAATTCAGGGCAGGAACCTGGAGGCAGGAGCTGAAACACAGGCCATGGAGGAATGCTACTTACTGGCTTGCTCCTCTGGGCCATGCTCAGCCTGCTTTCTTATAAAATACAGGACCACCTGCCCAGGGGTGGCACCACAGACAGTGGGCTGGGGTTGGGCCCTCCCACATCACTCAACAATAAGGAAAATGCCCCACAGACATGGCCACAGGTAGTCCAATGGAGGCAATTCTCCAATTGAGGCTTCCTCTACCCAGATGTGTCAAGATGACACCTAAAGCTATCCAGCACATAACCCGACCTATGGAAATCCATTTAGCTGTATAACATGATATACTTTGTAACAACACATGTGAGTTCACAATGTTAAATAGATTTTTCTGAAGAAACCACAGGGTATGTATAAGCAGACATCTACATCTGCATTCATGCATTGTAATTCTGAAGCTGGTGTGATGGAGATGAAGAAATCAGAACAAACACTCCTTCGCTAGTTATTTTTGAAACCTTGACAGTATGCCATGTTCTTTGGATCTCCTTTGTTAGCTTGCCTGAAGGTAATATGCATGTTTGGAGACAAATTTCATTAATCATTGTTGTATTGAAAAGTTGAAAGGCTCTACTGTTATGTCGCTTGTGTCTTGATCCACACAGCAATGGTATGAGGTTGGGCCTCCCCCAGTCTTTTGGCTCTCTGGCTTCTTCTTCACACAAGCCTTCCTGACTGGTGCACAGCAGAACTATGCCAGAAAATTCACGATTCCCATCGATCTCCTTGGTTTTGACTACGAAGTGATGGATGACAAAGAATATAAGAATGCTCCTGAGGATGGTAAGCCAGTGACAGAGTGAACAGGCACATGGCTGCACAGTGGGAAAAAGCATAGCATTCTTAATCTTTTCCTCAACTGTCAAAAAATAATCATGTATGTTACATGGGAAAGGGTTGAAAAAAAAGTCATAGAAAGAACAAATGATAGAGGGGACGGGGAAGAAAATGAATAGAAGAGGTGAATCTGTTTGGGGTTTGGTGGGGAGGGGATTGGTAGTTTTGTTTTGGTTTGTTTTTGTTTTTGTTTCTGAGGCAGGGTCTCCCTGTAGCCCCAACTAGCCTGGAACTCGAGATGTAGACCAGGCTGGCTGAGATCCACCTCTGCCTCCTGGGTGCACCACCACACCCAGCTCAGAATAGTTGAATCTGGATAAAGAGTATATGCTTCTATACTCTGGATTTCTCTTTTTTTAAACTCCAAAATTATCAGAACCTTAGTTTGGCTTTAGGGAATCATGAAAGAGGAGTTTCCTGGTTCCTCAAAGAGCATACTTTTCCAAACTTCTAATATATGTGTGTGTCTTCTACTGTTACATATATCATTATGTGTGTGTGTGTGTGAGAGAGAGAGAGAGAGAGAGAGAGAGAGAGAGAGAGAGAGAGAGGTGTGAGTGTGGTATAGGCACGTGTGCAAGTATATACACCTTTATGCAAGTGCTTCTGAAGGCCAGAGGATGCTGGGTGCCCTGTTTTATCGCTCTCCATGTTACTCCTTTGAGACAAGATCTCTCACTGAAATTAGTGCTAGGCTGGCAGCCAGTAAGCCCCAGGGATCCTCCTGTCTCTCTGTCTCTGCTCCTTACAGTGGGGGTGGGGAGTGGAGGTGGGGTGGTATGGGTGCACATGTATGACCAAACTTGAATTTTTCATGGGTATTGGAATCCAAACTCAGGTCCTGATGCTTGCATAGCAAGCACTCTCACCTTCTTAGTCATTTCTCTAGACCCTGGAAACAGGTTGAGTGAGGAGAAATATTAATTTTCTTGATTAGTTTTCTTAATACTTGTGATGACTATGATGAATTATTGTAAATTCAGTGGCTGCTGGCAAGATGGTTCAGTGGATAAAAGCATTTTCTACTGACAATCTAAATTCCATCCACAGGGCCCACAAGAGAAAGAGAGAATTGAATCCCAGAGCTGTCCTCTGACTTTCACATGTGCTCCTTGGTGTGTGCATAAACAACACACTAAATTAATTAATTGATTAATTAATTAAATGTAATAAAAATTTAAGTGCAATGGACAAGGCCATTACTTTAAAAAATAGTATAATTTTTAGAAAGCTAAAAAATTACAGATTCCTAAGTTTTACCAAAATGTTCTGACTTTAAATGAATAGCATCTATCTCTCAATGACTGTTAATGTTTGTTGTTTTGACTAGACTAATGTGTCAAGGGCAACTTTACTTCCTAAGTCACCACTGAATTATGGATTCACTGTCTTACTCGATTAGGCACTGGAGAGTCCACAAACAACAGTTTAGGATTTTCCCCTGTGCTGGATAGCTTTAGTGTCAACTTGTCACACCTGGGTTGAGGGTGCTCAACTGGGGAATTGCCTTCATTGGACTGGCCTGTGGCCATGTCCATGGGGCACCTTCCTGGTTGTTGAGTAATGTGAGAGGGCCCAGCCCACTGTGGGTGGTGCCACCCCTGGGCAGGTGGGCCTATGTTGTATAAGAAAGCAGGCTGAGCAGGGGCGGGGGGAAAAAGCCAGTAAGCAGAGTTCCTCCATGGTCTGGGCTCCAGCTCCTCGCCTTCAGTTCCTACCTTGGGCTCCCTGATGAATTGTGACCCGGGAGACGTAAGACAAATAAAACCTTTCCTCCCCAAGTTGGTAGTGGTCAGAGTGTTTTGTCACAGCAATGGAGAATCAAACTAGAACAGCCCCTCAACAAAGTTATACCCAGATGCGAGGTTCTGACAGCTAGAAGTATAATCACAGTGTGTACGATAGTCACCTTACTATGCCAAATGGTTTCACTTTAAATTGGGTGTCACACATCCAAGTTTTGCGATGTGAAGTAATCCTACTGTTCCCCTAGGACATTTGCCTTCCCACTCTCAAAATGATCCCTCCTCCTTTCCCTCTTGCCTCATCCTTTCTTGCTAAAGTAGAGGACCAAGAAGACAGATTTTAGCACAAACACCAAATCTGTAAGCCTGATCCCCCCTGTACCCCCTAAGTATCTAGACAGACCCCCTTTCCTTTCTCCTCCAGGGCTTTGCTTTTTCAATGGCACCTTCTCTTCCCACAACCAACATCTCTCTCAGGACTGGGTAATCCCCAACAACATACAGCATGCTCTACGGTCTCTCATCTTAAAATAAGTCAACAAATATTTCAGTCGTCGTAACAGTCACTCCCATCAGCTACTGCCCCATGTCTCTCTGCTTCTTTATACAAAATGTCTCACAAGACGTGTCTTTGCGGGTTCTTACCTACCTGTTTCTATCTTCAGAGGTATGGATGTATGTTGACAAATCCAATGAATTTCTTTTTGGCTTTTTTAAATTTTTTTTAACTTTTTCACTATTTGAGAATTTCATACATGCAATATAGTGTGTTTTGATTAAGCCCACCCTCCTTTCCCTCTCCTTTAATTCCTCCCATATCCTCCTCACCACTATTCCTTCCAAATTTCATGTGTTCTTTTTTTTTAACCCTCCAAGTTCACTTGCTGTCTGTATGTGACTAGGTATAGGACCATTTTCTGGAGCATGTGCCAGCTTCTCACGGGACACAGACTCAGAGAACACAGGCTCTCTCTCTCCTAGCAGTCATCAGTTGCCAATAGCTTCTCAGCTAGGGCTGGGGCTTCCTACCCACCTTCTGTCCCCATGCTGGGATGTTGTCTGGCTTGATCTTGCACAGGTCTGGTGCATGCTATCACAAACACTGTGGGTTCATATGTGCAACTGCCCTGTTGTGTCTGAAAAACACTGCTTTTGTATAGTCATCTACTACCTCTGGTTCTTACAATTTTTCTGCCTTCTTTCTCAAGATAATTCCTGAGCCTTGGAAGGAAGTGGGGGGTAGGAATGTGACATAGATATCCCATTGAGGGCTAAGCACTCCACAGTCTCTCATTATCTTCGTGTTGACCAGTCTCTGTGTTAATCACCATCTGCTAAGCTTCTCTGATGAAGGTTAAGAGAGGCACTAACATGGAGAAGGTCCTCAAGGCATGTGGTCCTTAGGTGGGAATGGAGCTGCAATGGGGTGAGGGTCCCTTGTTTCCATCTTACCACTCAGCAATTTTGCCAACCTATCTTTCTTCCTTTGATTCTAGGATATTATCTGCTGATTTTATTTTCCTTTTTAGTCAAATTTATGCTTCTTGTTGGCTTATTCTTCTCTAAATATTGGAATCTCTTGGCCTCCCAAGACCTTCTTCTCCTAAGGACTCCCCTGCCATAGACTGCCTGGCTTCAGTGGTACTCGGAAACCATGGAGGAAGAATCAATGGCCTCTTCATTCTTGCATCTTTCATGTCTCTAAAGCCAGCACCTTATGAATGACACTGCCAGTTTAGGTTACTGTCTTAAGATGGACCTTGGCCCACTTCATCCACATTTGTAGTTCTGTTGTGGTTTTCTGGGAGCAGAACACTCCTTAAGTCTTTTCCTTTCAGAAGTTGGAAGCTTAGCTGGGTGGGGTCTTGCCACAGTTCAAAAGCAGATCTGGAGGCCTCTCCTGAATGGCTCTAATTTCCTTAACAATGAGAGAACATGCCTTGCTTCCAGGTTAAACATCCTAGCCTTCTTTTCCTCTCCAAACTACATTTTGTATTTTTTTTTTCTGCCCCACTTGCTCTTTTTCATTTAGAACTGCGCAATACTCAACATTCATCACCACACCACAAATTCAAAGTTAGACTGTCTTGAAATTTACTGTCAAAGAAATTAGTCCATTTTGTTTTAATTTAATTTCAGGCAAGATCTTAGGCCATGGAAAGACAGCAGCCAGATGCTTTGCCTGCCAAAATATTCCAGTTGCTGCTTAAGTCTTTGTTCCCCTCTGAAACTACATTGCTCTCAGCACTACTTTCTTCTAGGCTCTTACAAGAAGAGTCCATTATGTTAAGCTGTGCTTATAACATTCAACCACTTACAAAGTCTTCTACATTTCTCCAGAAAACATGGTTAGTTTCTTCCCAGCAACACTCTCTGATACCAAATTCTCTAAGTTACTTTTCTGTTGCTGTGGTGAAACACCAAGACTAAGGCCACTTATAGAAGGAAGAGTTTATTTGGCTTATGGTTCCAGAGGGATAAGAGTGGCATGGCAGGCGGTAGCCAGAGCAGACAGCTAAGAGCCCACATCTTCAAGCAGGCCCAGGAAATTGGGGAAGGCCAAAGCCCACCCCTAGTGACATACTTCTCCCAGCAAGACCACACCCCTTAAACCTCTCCAAACAGTGCCACCAACTAGGGATAAAGTGTTCAAATACTTGGAGCCTATGAAGGACATTCATTCTAATCACCACACAGCACTTAGAAATGACCATGAGAAAAACAAATGTACTTGTACATTCCCATCATATTTCCTAGAAAACTATTGGGTTGAAGGACCGTTGACCATCCACCCTTCTCTAAGTGTTGAACTTCTCTCTCATTTTCTTCCTAGAGATTTTCATTCTTTCAAATGATCAGAGACAGGAACTTACTGGCCTTTACTCTCCACCTTCTGCCACAGAGTTCTCCTATTTTCCTTTTTCTTGCCTATTATTGTGCTGACCTTCAAGCCTTTGGCTGGTAGGGAAGATTAGGATGCAGATTGTGTTCTGTACCCCCAACTTCCCTCTCAGGTCACAACCTACATTGCCCTGTAATCAAGGTATATTTTGCAGCTCAGTTCTGCCAAAATTATACTTAGGCAGTTATTAGACAACTCCTGTACCAATCAATTAATAAACCTGAAATGTATTCCAACTTATTCATATCTATTAAAAGTCAGTGAAAGGTGCATCTTCTTCTCTGCAGCACCCTTCACTTAACTATTTACTTTAGTACAATAAAGCTTAAAATTCAAGAATGTGGGAGAAGGATTAAACACATATAGCGCTATCCTGCATCTTTACCAAACTGACACAAGATGGCAGGTTTCTAGCTACCTGGGCTGCTGGAGTTTGGTGAGAAAGTACTGAGTACAGAGAAAGATCAATGACTGAAACAAAACAAAACAAAACAAAAACCAGAAATAAGAAGTTTTAGAATTTTAAGAGAAACAGCCCTGACACCAAGCTCTAGACAGTGGGGTAAAATAAGGACATTCCCCACTCTAAGCAGGGCTAAAAGCAAAAGAATGTAAATGCTGGCCATTGCCACAGCTTACTAAATACAGTATGCACACTTACAACCTAAACACATTACCTAGGATCTGCATAGCCACCTGCTGCTAGAGAAGAACTTCCCTGCATGGTGCCTGCCTGGGCAGCTTCCCAATAACGGTGGTCCTGTCATCTGAGTTTACTGCTTAGAGGGTGAGGAATCCCTGAAATTTTATATCACCAAATTTTAACAACTTCTCTCCACTGATCCAGCACTTGGGTAGATGTAGAGAGATGACTGTGACCTTGATCCAGGTGTCCAGAAACCTCTGTGCTGGCAACCCTGTTCTGTAGTGCAGAAATAAGTAGGAAGCTGAAGGCATTTGTATTAAAAATTAACAGTGAATGGCTAGCTTCCTCCCTGTGGCCTGGGAATGAAGGGTGTCTAAACGCACCAAGCCCTAGTCAGTCACTCAGTTCCTGAACTGGCTCCTTTCTGTCACCTGTGCTTTACTGTGGTTAACAAAGCCAGAGGCAGTGACCAGAGATTTGCTCAGTTCTGGGGCTCCCTAATTCCAGTGCAAAACTCGTGTTCAGTTTGCTTTCATTACTGTCCAACATGTTAGAAGATACATCTTGGCTTTGGGTATGCAAGCTGGGGGCCTCAATAGCCCAGCCTTAGAATGAGCATTTAACTCACTGGGACTAGAAGCAGCTCCAAAGGCTAAAACAAGGGAATCATCTGAAAGAAAATGTAGCACAACTTTGGACAAAAGAGCCTTGGCTGACCCAGCCCTAGTGGGAAAACCCAGGGGAGAGCTCTGCCTGCATACAACATCAACCTACTTGGTGGGATGAGAAAGGAAGTCCAATAACCCCAACCCTGGCAGATTCCAATGTCAGAGATCCTGCAAAGAAGCTTTTATAGTCCAGACACCTCAGCCAAGAAGAGCTTTTTTGTTTTTTGTGTTTGTGTAGTGGCTCGTCTCTTCCTCCTCCTTTGTTCATCTATCTACTATATCTTCATTATTCTGGCTTGGTTTTAGTTTTCTTCATCTTCCTCATATTCTTTCCTATCTTGCTTCTTTCCCTCCCACCCTCCGCCTTCCTGTTATTATCCTTTAAAAGTCAAAGGAAAGTTAAGATCCTTCAAGATTTTTTTAAGTACTTCATAAGCACTAAGCTGACATTGAGAAAATCCTTAAGACAATCCTACACATAGATGAGTGAGAAATATACACAAAGAGCAAGAGAATAAATGAAAGGATAAGTCTCACTAGAAGACTAGATGTTTAAGTGAGAGTTTATTCATAATAGCCAAATTATGGAATCAGCCTAGGTGTCCATCAATAGATCAATAGATGAATGGATAAAGAAAATGTGATTTTATATTATATATATATATATGAAAATGGATGAACTTGAGATCATAAGATGTGAAATAAGCTAGATTTAAAAAAACAAGTATTGCGGGGCTGGAGAGATGGGTCAACAGTTAAGATCACTGGCTATACTTGCAGAAGACCCAGGTTTGAATCCCAGCACACACACGGCAGCTAACAACTATCTGTAACTCCAGTTCCAGGGGATCCGATGGCCTCTTCTGTCTTCCATGGGCATTGCATGACATGGGTGCACTTACCTACATGCAGGCAATACACCCATACATGTAAAAATAATTTAAAAAATAAAAAAATACAACCCCCCCCAAACCAAGTATCACATGTTTCCTCTTATTTGTGGAACCTAGAGGGAAAAAAGACATAAAAGTAGTGGGAGAACTAATGACAAAAAGGAGGGGGGCCCATGGGGAGAGGAAGGGTAATAGGTGTAGCTACAACCATAATATGAATTGTGTATGTATGAAAATACCACAATGAACACATATTGTTTTATATAATTAACATGTGCTGATAAAAAAAACATTCACTCCCTGAGTCATGTTGACTTTTTTTTAGGTATTCAGGATTAAAGATAGAGCCTAACGCATGGTAGACAAGCCTCTACCACTGTCTGACTTTTACTTTCATATAGGGCCTTGCTAAGTGTATTTAAATTTGCTCTATAGCTTAAGGAGGCCTTGAACTTGGGATTTTTCTGCCTTGATCTCCTGAGTAACTGGGATTACAGGCTTCCATTATTAGGCCTGTCTATCCTGACCATTTTTCAAGTGTTGCATAACCATGCATAGCTAGAGCCTAGATCAGCAAGCACAGGCACCAAACATGTCCTATGGACATTACTGCTCCAGGGGAATTTATGTTCCAATCTGCAAAAATGCTTTCACCTATGTTAGGTGATTTAATTAAAACAATCCCAGAAGGTAGAAAGGCAAGCACTATTGTTTTATGTTTTCATCTTACTCTCCAGATGGCAAAACAGGTTCTGAAGTTAAATGAATTGTTCAAGATCATGTATCAAATTGGGAACTAAAACCTCAGTTTTAGTCTAACTTCTACATTGATTCTCTTGACATTTGTACAATAATTACCATGAACATCTTTATGGGGGAGAAACCTGTATTCAATCCAGGAGGCCTTAAAGATGAGTAGCCTGAGAAAAATGACCTGCATCTCACTGATTTCCTAATTTGTGCTCTTCTTCAACTAGTGTACGACATTACGCTTCAGAGGATTTATCTATATGTCCTTTCTTTATCCAGATTTAGGTATAGGAATGACTTTTACAATTTGGGCATATCTGGACTAAAGATTTTTACCTAATTTTGCAACCAAAAAGTGACTATTTATAATGTAAACAAACTCACTGAGCCATGTGGCCTTCTTGTGACCTGGGCATATAACCTTAATCCCTCAGGATCCCTCTTTGCCCTCTACCCAACATAGTGTAAGATAGGGTGTAAACATATGTATGCACACTTTACATATCAAAGTGATGAAAGTGGCATGTTTTTCTCATTACATGTAGTGAGAGAATTGAATGTGATTGATATTCTGGAACAAAGGGCAAGATTAGGTGATAAAATGAGGGTGGGTTCTGTCTTCTACTTCCCCATTTCATGCCATAGATAGTGTTTCAATAAAGAATGAGCAAAGCCTTGACTCAGAAGCTGTTTCCAGACATCTGAAGAAATGAAATGGGTACCCAGCAGTTCAGTACCATTCTTGGCCTTATGAATGCTAAGAGTCAGACTGTCTCTTTTAAAGCCTTGCTGTAAATCGGTTTAGAAATACCACTCTAAGCAGAGGTGTTCACAGTGAGAATGACCTCTAAAAGGGGAGGAGGAAGTCAACTCTCAGAGCATTAGAAATCTGCAGAAGAATATCCTTTCCATATGCTGCCTAGTGGCCACCGGATGCCTATAATTACATTAAGAATGGTGTGTGTGTGTGTGTGTGTGTGTGTGTGTGTGTGTGTGTGTTTACAGATTTAAGAATTTCTGACAACATAATTGTCAACTAAAATAAATCTGGTGGGGCTAAGGAAATGACCCAGTTAGTATGGTGTTTTCCTTATAAGTATGAGGACCTGAATTCACTCTCCAGCACTCTGGCAAAAAATATGTTGGATGTAGTGGCCCACATGCTTATAATCACAGTGTGGGGGAAACAGAGGCAGAGACAGAAGACATTTGGGTTTGCTGGTCAGAGAGAAACCCTTTCTCAAAAGAGAGAGAGGGTGGAGAGTGATGAAGGAAGACAACGAAGTCAACCTCTGAGCAGACACACATGGTTGTGTATATCACACACCCACACCCACCCACACCCACACAAATAAGGTGAAGAGTGATTGATGAAGGTACTTGATATGGATCTCTGGCCTCCACATGCAGGTTCACACCCATACACCCATAGGCGCTCTCTCTCTCTCTCTCTCCATATATATATATTCAGGCCTGGGAAGATGGCTCAGCAGTTAGGAACACTGACTGGTTCGATTCCCAGCACCCACATGGCAGATAACAACTATCTGAAATTCCAGTTTCAGGGGATCTGACACCCTCTTCCAACCTCCTTGGGCATTGCACGACATGGGTGCACTTACATGCATTCATACATGTAAAAATTAATTAAATTAAAATTTAAAATATATATATATGTATATATATGTTGTATTTAAATATATAGAATACTTTTCATAGATGAGTTTAAAATAATTTTAATAATTTAATAATTTTAATAATTTTAGTATTGCATTACTTTACTAATTAAAGTATATATAACTTTGAAATACAGGTGTTAAAACACTCAGGAGACTGCCTTTGTTTTAGAACAAACTTCAGGCTACTAACGTAGTACTGCATAGTACTCACATGTAAGAATTTCAGATCCAGAACTGGGTGTTATATTAACTTCTTTCTTTGATATTTAGGTGTTTACATTTGTGGATTATTTCTGGATGGAGCTTCCTGGAATAGGAAGATCAAGAAACTTGCAGAGTCACATCCTAAAATTCTTTATGATACAGTCCCTGTGGTTAGTATTTGCTGATAATATATGCATGGTGTGTGTATACATATGCATACATATGTGCCTGGGCATGGATATATGTTTATGCAATTCGTTCTTGTTCTTTGTGGTAATCATGTTCTATAAAGCTGCTACCAACATTGAATTCATGAATATCTTTGCTCTTAGGGGAAATTCCCAGTTGAGTTTCTGGAGTCTCAACATTTTTGTTAGTAGATTGATACATACTATTGTTCTGTTTCTGTTTAAAGAAAACTTAGTATATATTGTTGATTCATGGTCAACAGCACTGTAACTCCTGCCTGAATGAAGATCATCCCAGGCCTTCTTGCTTGTAGGAACACTAGACTGAGCTGTAGCCCTACATTTAGGGGTCATTTTCAACAATGAAATACCAACAGAATAACACAGGAATGTGAGCAGCTGAGCACTAAATAGACCACAAAGAGGATACTCATTTACAATTAAGAGAGCTGAAATAAAAAAGCAGAGCTTCCCCTGGTTCAACCTTAACAGGGTACATGTATGTGGGATGAAGGTAATTCAAATCTTTGCTGATTTACCCATGTCTATCAAGGACCACAAAAGCACTGCCAGTGTTGATTTTAGGATGAGAAATGAATTTTGTGTGTTGTAAAACTTACAAATAATGAATCTATGAATGGTGAAGAGCAACAGTATATAATTGTTTCCATGTGTGATTATCATGACAAAATAGTTCTTTACACAATTTGAAGGGCAAGTCTAGAATGATATGGTAAAACAAAGGCTTTGGTTCACATGAATTGTGGGATTCTGTAAACAGTTCAAAGATAGGTGAAAAATCCCCAGATCAGCTGCAGCAATGGTGGGGCCAGTTAAATTGAGAATTTTACCAAGATCAGCTTCTATCTCTACCAATGGGAAGAGAAAGTTTAGGACATGAGACCTAAAAGTGCAAGTCAGAGGAGCAAATAAACGTTTGCAATTTTAGGAGTCAATTAGTATTTATTCTTTTCCTTTATGAGGAAGCTTAACTTGCAAAGAGTAGAGGAAGTTAATTTATAAATGGGTAATTATTCTCCTAAATAAAGAAGTCAGCTAGTAAGAAATAAATATTCTCATTAGAGGGGCTGGAGAGATGGCTCAGTGGTTAAAAGTGCTGGCTGCTCTTCCAGAGGGCCTTGGGTTTGATTCCAGCACCCACATGGTGGCTAACAACAACCATCCGTAACTCCAATTCCAGGGGATCCAATACCCTCATCTGACCTCTGCAGGCATTGCACAACAAGTGGGTGCACTTACATATATGCAGGCAATACACTCATACACACATACACACACACACACACACACACACACACACACACACACACACATCCCAGTTCTCACTAGAAAAAAAATTCTTTGCTTAAATGAAAAATCCAAGTTGAAAGTGTTTTGAGATTTATGTTGCAGTTAATAGCTGCCAAAACTGCTTGGTTCCTCCCCTTCTGATAATGTGGATTCCACAACGACATGGATGGAACACAAGACCCTAGGTCTTAATCATTGGCATCTCATGAAATTTGTGTTTTGACCTAAAAACCCTAAAGGAGGATTCTGAATAGGGGAGCTCTCATGTACCTTAAGGATTATTGTTCATAACTGTGAAAGAAATTAATTTGGTCAGAGTCTGAAACATTTTTATGAGTGTAATTCATTTTTGGCCCTATAAGTCAAAGGCCAACTTGCCTTGAAATCTTATTCTTAAAATTGGCAATGCTCAACAATAAATTGTACTATTAAATCCTAGGAACTTGGTTAATCACTAAAAAGAATGTTGGATGTATTGTAGCTAATGGAAAAATAGAGATATGTTGTATTCTTTTTTTTTT